TCCACGACTACCACTGCTCCACCTTTGACGGCTTTCGTAACGATTAGATGAATATTACACAGACAGGCATAGGCCTTTACAGAGAGGCCCAACAGAAATGCTTAAGAGGTTGTTTGACCTCGTTTTCCCAACTTGGTCGCATTGATAGGAAAACTTAGAGGAACGCACCTAGTCTGGAGTCCATTGTATGCCTCATCATTTCCAAAGTCGGATCGTGGACGTGGTACATTTCCAGACGTTTCGCCGGCATCGTCAATAAGTATCGCCAGTCTTAGCACCATACAACAACGCGTCAGAGACAAGTAAGCCTATCCTATCTTTTCACCCAACATTTTGACTCGAAATGGAAGTTAGCCCAACAATGTTGATCAGAGTCTGCCATATTGTTACGTAGTCCTCCTTCCCTAGGTGTTATCACAGTCTCTCTCTTGCCTCGTAAGATCCGTCTACCCTCTCCCGGGTTCACGAATTTCATTCGACCCATGCCACCCCATCTGTGCTGTTCGAGGCGTTATTCCCCCTCCCCTGAGTCTGGGTGACTAATTCGAGGCTAAAGCTTATGAGTAAGTGTCATAGTCAGACCTTTGCCACATGGACCACGTCTCTTATAAAAAATACCGTGAGACCATAGCTACCATCGTCGCCGCGTTTATCCTGTTTCTATCTCCAATAGCAAGTCTATGACTTGTCATGCCCTTGTCATGGACCACGTCTATAGTAAAAACAGACCTACTGTTAGCCAATTAGCTCCAGTCTCCGCCACGTCTATCCTGTTTCTATCTCTAATACCAGGTCTATGACTTGCCATGTTATAGTCTCTTGTGTGCTAACCCATAAATGTTGTGGTACTGCTTGCTTTGATTAGGTTCAATGTTGAACAACAACGTTTGTGGGTTGGCACACAAGAGACTAGGGCATAGGAAATCATAGATTTGGTATTAGAGATAGAAAGAGGATAGAAACAGTGAAAGCTAGAGCTGGTTGGCAAAAAATAGTCGTGATTTAAGGATCACGTCTATTGTTAGCCAAATAGATTTTGCCTCCACCGCGTCTTTCATATTTCTATCTGTAGTACCATATATATCACTTCCTAAATCGTAGTCTTTTGTGTGCCAACCCACAATTGTCGTGGTTATACTTATTTTGATTAGGCTAGGAACGGTATTGCGTATAGATGCTAACACGCACCCATAGACACACGCACACTCGAGCAAAAGTTACAGGATCAGTATGAAAGATAATAAGCCAAACCACTATCTATCTATCTATCTATCTATCTATCTATCTATCTATCTATCTATCTATCTATTTATTTATTTATTT